GTAAGTAAAATTGTTAGATATTTATTATTCTAAAAGACTGCAGTAGATTGGCTACATGAGTACCCTCAAAGGAATGGAGAAGATCGTAACATACATAAAGGACAGTTACAACAACACTCCGATGTTCATCTCTGAAAAACGGATAAGCTTGATTGAACTTTTAGATGTCGTTTCGAAAGTGCTAAAATGAAAATCTTGCAGGGTTTGGCTCTCTTAATCTTTAGAAGATTCCCTCAATGATTTCAAAAGAATGGAGTTCATGGATTGCTATTTGGAATCCTTGGCTAAGGCAATAAGGTATCTTAATCCAAAGAAGATAACAAAGAACACTTTTGTCATGCTCAAAAGCAACTTTCTAAGTGCTTATTTGGGCACTATGGACACGTCTGCCAAGAGTTCTACTTCTACTAAAATAGTTTCGTAAGCCAGTTTCTTCGAAAAACAATTTTTAATTGTCGAACAGGTCCTATCTATGCATTAGAGTCCAGAAAAAAACGTGCCATATATATATTTGTGATTTTGTGCAGAAAAGGAGCTGATGTGAGGGGATAGTTTGCATGGTCCTTGGTGGACAACTTTGAATGGATATCTGGATATACTATAAGATTTGGGCTTCACCATGTTAATTATGATAAGCCACTTGGTACAAGGGCTTCATTTCAGCCACAAGAGCCCTCCAGACTACGTGGGAATCATCAAGAATGGAATCCTCAATACAATTTTTTAGGGCAAATTTCCAAATGAATAGGTATGAGAAAACGTAATCAAGTCAAAGGCATGACTAAATAGTAATTTTATCAACTTCAATAATGGAGTAGTTGTACTTTATTTGTCTTGTAAAAAGTGTAAACCAATAACTGATGCTAAGGACAATGCAAGAATCGCCGCCCTGCCGATGCATTGATATCATTAGCAATTACTTTATTGCAATTTGTATAATAACATTCCATTCATATCAAGATAACTTAATCTCTAATTTTTCAATTTTAGAAATATTTTAAGGTATCATTGCCCTACTCCCCCACTTTTTAATTTTAGAAATATTTTAAGGTATTATTAGCTATTATTTTATTGCAATTTGTATAATAATATTCCATTCATGTCACGATAACTTAATCTCTACTTTTTGAATTTTAAAAATATTTTTAAGGTATTATTGTGGCGAAAAAGGTTTTTCATGAGGTAGGAAATGAAAGGTATTAGTTCCATGCGAAATTTGTGAATGATTGATTGTCTGACCCAAGTCCCCCACTTACTACAAAGATTTTAAACATTATTTGGTATCTTAAGTAATGTCGAATAGACTTAAAGCTATCCTCTTGTTGATTGCAAAAATGATGTGATATTTTTTTTTTTATCAACATCTATTGATTACAATTAAATAAAAGTGATATAATGTTAAAATTTGGTAACTGTAGAGAGAGGATAAGTAAGTTCTAATTCTCAAGTCATTCACACTTTGGCCCTTTATATAAGTCGATGGATTCAAGCTTGTTGCTCTGGTCATGTCAAGCTATAGCATTTTGGTCTAGGATTATGTACCATGGTCCATGTGAAAAAATTTGATTGGTTGGTAAGCTCGACTAGAGGGGGTTATTATGGCACTCAAGCTTTAGATGTGCACCTTAAACCATCGTGTCATCTTCCTAACTGGTTGGTTTGGACAGTGCTGCTACCAAGTGAGAGAACTTCCTCTGTTATGTCATTATATTTTTTTTTAATAAATCGTCTCATATACTTCAACTCCGACCTCTATCAATCAAATATTGGGTCACGGTACCAAGCTGACGTGTGTGAACTCTTCAACAAGTAAGCTCTTCTGATCAAGTCAAGGAGATCTCTCAACTTATCAACCACTGATTTAAGATTGACAACAACCCAAGATCTAAGTTCTATCTTTTAAGATACCGAACCTTGATTCTTAGTTATCCGATCTATAACTAACATTTCAGAGAATGGTGGATAACAGTTATTCTCATAGGTTGTGCATGAACGATAAGAAGATAGTTTTTTTATAGAACATGTTAGGTATCTGATTAGGAATTGGCCAACTACTTGCGTACAATATAATCTCTTTACATAACAAATCCACAAAAGAATGATTTGATACAAAAAGAGAAACTGTTTATTTATTCGAATGTTAAAACTATAATTTAAGCTTATCAAACATGATTTTATCCTCATATTTCTTAAAATATACAACTTAATATATTTTCATTTAACTCGTAATGTATAAACATTTAAAAACACTCTTAAACAACCAACTAACTTATGTTCTTTTACAAAAATATTTGAAGTTAACTATATACAATGCATTATAAAAATATAATTTGTAAATACATAAATTTGACAACAAGAATCTGTTCCAACAAATTCTCAGCTGCTACCTTCTAAATTTGGTGGTCAAATAACTAATCCCAGAAATTTTATTTTTTGAATACGCGTAGCAGATTTAGTCAATTGGGTTGGTGGTTTACCCAACTTAAGACTGGGTAAAATGCAATCCAATTATATAAGTTCCTTAGGACCAATTCAGGTTCGGTCCGATTCGGGTTTTATAATTGAGTTTTGCTACATGTACATCGAGGTTAATACTTCGGTATACATTCTCCTTATATGGGGGATCCCAAGATTTTTTTATTGTTGTAGGATCCATCCCCTCATGTGAGGGGAGTGTACACCGGAGTGTCAACCCTGATGTACAAATAACATTTTCCTTTATAATTATACTTTCATTTTCCTTTGTAAATTTTTATAGATAATAGACTTCTATGTGAAAATATATTCATAAAATTTTCATTAAAAAATATTGTATATAATCAATCAAAAGAGCTGGTAATTAATAATTGCTTAGCTCGTACAAGGAAAAAGAGAGAAGGTAATTATAATCACACTACAATTTTTATTTCTTTCACTATCTTTTAATTCTATTTAAAGTTCTTAATTTTTGCTCATTATAGCACTTATATCGTTAACGATTTTTCATGTCATTTTATTCTTAAACTTTTCATTAATTAACATATTCTGTATTTGATGATAGTTTCATGTCCAAAATTTTGTTGAAATGGAGTAAAACAACTTATTTTTAATCATATCTTTAAAAAATAAATATATAAAAATCTCTAATTTCAAACATGAAATTAAAATATTTGATATAAATCATTATTAAAACTGAAACGTACTAATTAATGGAAGATTGAAGTAAATAATTTAATGCAAAAAAAAAAAGTTAATAAAATAATTTCTACGATTAGCAAAGATTAACGAACTTAACTGTAATTAAAATGTGATGTATCAAATAAAAATTGTAGTGGTAATATAACAACCCAAGAAAGAAAAACATTGAGGAAAGAATTTCTTTTTTCTTTCCTCGAAAGTCTTTCAAAATATTGGAGTGAATGAGAGATAAATGGTGAGAATGTTTCTTAAAAGCATTTATGTATAGAATTTTATAAAGAGTAAGAACATGTTTGGTTTGTATTAAATTTTGATTTTAAATTAAATTAAAATTAAATAATCAATATTAATCACATTTTTTATGGACTCCACAACTTATCAACTATATAATTTAAAAATTTCTATCACGATTTACTAAATAAAATTAATTTTAATTCTCACTAAACATCCCCTAAATAAAACTCGTTGACATTTTTTATTTGTAGGATCTTAAATTGTTTGGATTGAATATTCTATGATGTAAAAGACTTTTTAAAATCTAAACACTGCATTGAAATATCACAAAAACTTTTACACAATTTGAAAAGTTTATATATACATCCAAAATCTTTTACTCCACAAAAGTCAATGTCTTATCAATTTCCAATGCATGAGATGCCAGATTTTTCGATTTTATTTTTTTATTAGAACTTTTTTCAATTTTTTTTTTTTTTTGGATATTTTTCATGTGTCAAATCAGGGAAGGGTCCAGACACTCTAGGTTAAAAACTCAAAATCAAACTTTCAAACGATGGGTAAATCGTAAATAGTAATGACAATCCGCACTCGGTAGATTAGGAGAAAGAGACAAAAGCACAAAACTGAATTTGAAGCTGTCAGTTGTATTATACATTCATATGTAGATTTTAAACTTTAACCTTCTAATTAAAAAAAAAAAAAAAAGCATAATTTTCTTATTATATTTTTTCAAAAAATTGGAGGTCAATTGACCCTATGGAACCCCTTGGTCGGCCCCTATGTCAAATGTTTCATTTTCAACTTTAATTTCTTACTAATTCGAAATTATATATTTCAACAATTAAATATGGTACAAAACCAAATTTTCAACAAAATCTAGCTTGAGGGATTCACCAACCATCCATTTGCATGTTGAAATCAAAATTGGTGTAAATTACACTCAAAGAAAGAAGGCGACTAAAGTTTTCAAAGTTGAGGAAAACGTTGTCAAAAGAAAGATTCCATTCATATCATTATGAATTAAAAGCTCTATATTTTAACTCAATCAAAATATATAATACGAATACTTTTTAATTTTAATTTTTTGAATTTCATCTTACCTCTATTCTTCAAAGTATATTCAAATTAAAGCCAATGACCTGATATTGTTTTCATCACTTGTGCTCGATCTTCTCTATTATTACAAATATTTATTTACGATGAAGAACACAATTAGCATCAAAACGACAAAACAAAAAGAACTTTAAGAAGATACAATTTCCATTAAGTTTTATCTTTGGGAGGAAATCCACGTTTAAATCAAAATTGGTGCAAATTACACGCAAAAAAAAAAAAAAAAAAAAAAAAAAACGGCTCAAAGTTTTCAAAGTTTTGGAAATTTTTATTAGGAGTTCATTATCATCATTTTGACTTAGAGCTCGTATTAAAACTCTGTTTGGTAAAAATTAAAATCAATTTTTAAATTAAGTTAAGTGAGCAAATATTTTTAATCACTTATTTCACGGAATCCATAACTTTTCTACCACACATCTCATCGACTTTTATTAAACAATAATGCTACTCAAATAGGATTTAGAAATAGGTGCTTAGACAGGTGTTGTGTTAGCAATATCCAGCGATGTTGCTTTACAAGTCCCCCTACTTTTAAACCATGTCACTAACCTTATCATTTTTGCCAAACTCTCTATTAAAATCTCTGATTTAATCCATATGAAATAGGGGTTAAATATTTTCAAAGATATTGCAATTTGTAGGACCCCACATTCACCAACCCCCACTTACGTTCGACTTGATCTTGACATAAAGGCCTTTTTTTTTTCCCTGGAGGAACTAACTGCCAACGTTTGACAATAATGTCTTATGTAAATGTAACATCTAACGGACTTAGCCATTTTCCTTATCTATTAACCGACTATGACGTGTCATAACTTGACCGAGTATAGCGTTTTCTTCATGTTTCCGATAAATCATTGAAATAGTTATGAACAGTTAAACCTCGATAAAGTAATAATCTCGATTATATAATAATTTCTTTTGATCCCGACTTGAGCCAATGGACTAAAGTAATAACCTCGCTAAATGCATTAAGTAATAAAAAAAAACTGAATCCCTAAGGGCCCAATAAAAATATAAAGTAATAATTACTGGATTTCATTGAGAAAAAAATATATATATATATAGACCAAAATCTTTCAATCAATCAATAATACCCGTACAATAATCATTCCTTTTGATTATTTTTTTTCCCCACCTAAACCAAAATGAACCCCATCCTTAACTTTTTGTAGAACATACACAACTTTCGGAATGTTTTGCTCGTGTTGTAGCAAATAGTTGTTTAAGATGACTATTACTTGAAATGCCTCTTTTGACGACACATTTGGGACAACGCTACTATCGTCTGGTTCAGGATCATTCTCATCATCATTACTGTTCATTACCGATTGAATAATTTCTTCGTATGTAGGTGATTCAATAACTGCATCATTCTCGCTAGGATAGTTCAAAAGATGTTCAACATCCATCACATTTTTATAGTGTAAATTAGAGATGACATCATTTAATCTTTGGATACCTTTATCTAATTCATCAACTTCTGGTTCGGGAACATTGTTTTCTTCTGACCGAATCTTGCAATGCTGAAAACAATTTACAATTGTTGTTGTCTTCACATCAAAATTTCAAGCCATGTTAGCAAAATTAATAGTATTCAAAATATTAATTTTTTCAGGATTTGGTGCTTCAACCTCAAAGCCTTGTAAGATGCTAGAATAAAAACGACGACGATAATGAGCTTTGAATGCTCGAATAATCCCAGCATCACATGATTGAATCTTAGACGTTGTGTTAGAAGGTAAAAAAAATAACTTTACATTTCTCAAGCCTTCAACTACCTTTGGATGAGCTGAGCAATTGTCTACTATTAAGAGAACCTTCCTGCCATTCATTCTCTTATCAAAACAACCAAAAAAATCTTGAAAAAGCAAGCCAGTCATCCAAGCTTTCTTGTTGGATTGATACTTGCAATTAAGATTGTTCATGTTCACATATTTAAAGTATTTAGGATTTGCATACTTACCAATAACCCAATGTGGTACTTTATCAGATTCATCACCATTGCAACAAACAACAACAGTAATTATCTCCTTATTTTTTTTGCGTCCTTCGAGCTGCTTAGTAGCAAGTGAATGATCAGCTTTCAATCGATAAAATAATTCAGTTTCATCCATATTGTAAATATCCTTCAACTGAAACTGGTCCAGTTTTGATCGTATTCCAGGTAAAGCATTTTCAATGTTCTCCATGATAACTAAACCACTTTCACCAAAACGTTAGTAAGATTTGATTCCATATCTTGCCTTGAAACGTTCTAACCATCCACTAGAAAGGCTGAATTTTGAATTAGTTTCACCATACATTTTTTGCAAAAGCTCTTTTGCTTTTCCTTTGATAATTTCTCCAGACATGTTCACTTTATCTTGCCTTTGAAAAAATCACTCATACATAACTTTCTCAAAATCAGGGTATTTTGCCGATTTGTGCCTTTTAACATCTCTATTTTTCATCTCATTTGACAAATATTCAGATACCCTTTTAAGAGTGTTTGATATTGTTAATTGACTAATAGTCAAATTAAACATTTGTTGCACCCATGCTTGCATATCTTTTTGGCTAATAGTTGGATTCTCTTTTTTATACTCACATATTGCACTCCTCATTTTATCGGTTAAAGTTGATTTTTTTACTCCTTTCAAATGATGAGAAAACATTGGAGGGGAAACAAAAATATTGTATGTGCTTGGAATATGTCTTCAAAATATCTAGCTTTTATAGGTAAAGACTAAACTTTTTCATTTGCTATGTACGTGAACTTAGTTTTTAGAGACATTAAGTTTCACTAAAACTTTTGAGCTTCCCTAGATTCAAATAATACTTTGATTAGTGTCTTTTGAGTTTTCTTACCACATACAATGTACATATTTTATATTGAAAAGCTCTCTCAAAAATAATAAATATTTATTTATCGATAAATGAATAATTTATTTATTTATCGATAAATAAATAACTTCGCTAAATGAATATTTTTTTCCGATCCCGAGGGTATTACTTTATCGAGGTTTAACTAAAATAAACTTCCATGGCATCGCATGATGTGTCTGTTAGATCAATGAACGGACGTTACCTACAAAATGAGGTTGGGGCTTTCTCCCCCAATTGTAACTCCAACGTGAGAATTAGTAGGCGGTTTAGGAATATAGACTTTGAAAGAAAAAGAAGAAATATGTATTCAGATAGCCAAAGTTTTTTAAGCTCCATACCTACCTTATCTTAAGAGTATTTATGAATGTTTAGAGTCATGTAACTATTGGGAGGTTATTGTGCCACGTGTCCCACGTACAGGGGCGGACCCACTGCTGGACTTGAGGGGTCACGTGACCCACCAGATTTTTTTGTTTTTTGTTTTTTGTTTTTTTAATATATAAATATTTAAAACGGCACCCAATTCCCAAGCAACTCCCAATTCTCACGTAACCCACCCAATTCCCAGCGAACTCCCAATTCCATTAATTAACAAACATTTAAAATTGAAATAGAAAAAAAAGGTGTAAACCCATTAACTCATTATGAACCAAACAGCAAAGTGCAAACGCCAAAGTTTGAAAAGAAAACCGTTCGTCTGCCGACTGCCATTCTGCCTTGCGCCTCTGGTTGCCAACAATTGAAATTTGAAAAAAAAAAAATAAATAAATAAATCGTGCCCCACTAACTCAAAATTTCTACGCCCGCCACTGCCCACATATCATCTCCTACTACCTCACGTTTCAAGTGAAGGACCTCCACCTATCCAACGGTTGGTTGTGCCCATGATGATAACTGTTAAACGATCCCCCATCCAATTCAATGATGTTCTTGCTATTAAGTGGCGTGCTGGTCTCGTAGTGATAGATGACCTTATAATGGTAGGATGATTGTAAAGAATCTCGTAATGGTCGATAGCCCATCATGGATGTAGAGGACCTCATAGCGATCGACGGCCCATTATGGTCGTAGAGAACCTCATAGTATCGACGACCTAGCATGCGACACTTTAGATAGAGTGCTTCTTAAATAACCTTCATCTTGTTAGACATCGTAGACAATATTGGTGCTATCTAATATCAATCTTCATGAAAGAGTTTGCTTGCGACGAAATAAAATTTATTATCCTAAATTTACTTGTCTTAATTGGAATTTTATTCTCTAATCTTAATTAATTAATTTCTACTTCATTAGTTAAAATTAAAAAAACGTGTCCTAAAATTTTAAAGACTCGTGTCGGAAAAGTCCATCCAGATAGGCACTGAGTTGGCATCTGTGTAAAAAAAAAAAAAACAAAAAAAAAAAAACTGCACCAACCAGATAAACGTAAGCATCTCCAACTCTTTTTTATTTTCTATTTAATCCCCCAATTTTGACCCTCTTTCACATAAGAACATATACTGATATGATATACATAATATAATATTTAGGTGGTTGTTATACATCACCTTCACATCCACGTGTCCTGAATAAAAGTTTGATCCCTTTTTCTTAAAATCGAAAAAAAAAAAAAAGAAAAAAAAAATATATATATATAAAATTTTGAGGATAATCTTTCTCTCTCACAGAAAGTTATCCTCAACAGCTTATTTTCCAGCATTTGGGATCCAATAAATTTGGCGATTATAATACGTAACTCAACAAAGATACAACAAATGAATTGACCGATGTAATCTCAACAACTAACATCCCTGTAGTAGGCGGTGGCAGCCCAACACTTTTAAAGATAATGCTTAAAGCAGGAATAAAATCTTGATTTTTATTCAAGATATTTTCAGCCCCTCTTTATGTACCATTATTTCAAAAAATAAAATAAAATTTTAACATCATTTTCAACCACACATTCTCACAATAAAATGTTTTACACGTAAACCAAAAACATTTTCCTACTTTTTAACCATATATTCTTCGGAACAACACAATTCCAAAACTCATTTTCATTGAATAAAGGTGGACAAACGGGGGCTTATCTATTCTATTCTTGATTTTGCACCCGTCAAATAGTCTGATTGACCAAATTAGTGGTGGTTCCTATGATAACTACAAGGGATTATTTAATTTCAGGAAGGCTGTAAGATTTGAATAAATCAAAGTCTGTTACTTCCCTCTTCTTCCACCAACCTTCTGTTATTTATGTATATATAGGCAGTTGTAGATTGTAAAAAATATCCTTGTACTGAAAACCTTAAAGCAAGAGAGCATGGGGATTTCCTTAAAAAATATTCTTGTCTTACTTCTGGGATTGCTGGTGTATCCTTTCTTGGTAGAATGTCATCTCAAAACTCTAAAATACAGATCAAATGCCTCTCCATTTCCAGCCAACTTCCTTTATGGGACTTCATCTTCTGCATATCAGGTACAGAATTCCCTTCCAGCATGCATTACTGCAATATATGACAATTTTCGATGTTACATAAACAGAGTTTTGAAAAATTGTACTGATTTGATGAATTTGTGTTCTTCCTCAACTTCTGCAGTATGAAGGAGCTATCTCAGCTGATGGTAAAGGTCTAAACAATTGGGATGTTTTTACACACAAAGCAGGTAAGGAAACTAACATCATCATCATGTTTCTGTCAATCAAAAAAGGTTGTAAGATTCATCAAACATAATTGGACAGTATTAAAGATGAAAATAAAGTAAAAATCTTGATCATTATATGGTTTGATTCTATGACGTGGTTGAAAAGTAACAAAAGGAAACTTCCCTTAACATGAAGATATAATTTTGAGAAACAACCAAAGTAGTCATTAACGAAACCGCACTTTTGCAGGTACTATAGTTGATGGAAGTAATGGAGATATTGCTACCGATCACTATAATCGTTATCTGGTATCCTAGCCATTAACTGTTTCTTCTCAATTAGGATAGCAACTTTTTAACATTATACCTTAAGACTGCATTTTATGAATTACGTTCCTCAATTTCTTGAAACAGGAAGACGTAGATCTTATGGCCTCTATGGGAGTCAACAGCTATAGGTTTTCAATTTCCTGGGGAAGAATCCTACCAAGTGAGCACATTTCTCTTATCATTATACCTTCTCTATGATACATCAACATGGACACATATATCCAACATGATACATGTCGAATACGTTGACCCGTGATTTTTCAAAAAAGTGTCGACACGACACGTCGCTAATGCGTTGATTAAATTCTTTAAATTCCTTCATTTATATAATATAAATTTAGTTTTATACTCATTATTAATTTTTCTTGTTGAAATCTTTTAAATAGTACATATTTGTTATTTACTAAAAACTTTTATATATAACATTTTTTAATAATAACAAAAAAAGAAAAATATTTATTGTAGAGTGTCCGAAGAATGTCGATATCGACACGTGTCCGACACGGACACACTACCCTAGTTAAAGTGTTGGTACTACAAAGTATCCTCTTCTTTTCAAAAATTACAAGATTTCCTATTTCAGGCTGATTCCATTATTAAATGATATTTCAAACTATTATATTTCACTAAAACTATATTTCTTTCTATTTTTTTTAAAAATCTCAATGACTTACATAGTACGCCATCTTAATAGATGTAGACTATACAACCTCCTAATCTAAAACTCTTGTGTTGGAGAACAGAAGGGAAATATGGGGCTGTTAATTTGGCAGGCATTGACCACTACAACAAGCTCATCGATGCTCTCCTCCTCAAAGGTTAGACTCCGTCTGTAATGTTACCAACAAATTGACGTCAGGACAGATCAACTAATGAGAATAAACGATTTTTTAGCAAGAATAATACTGTTTTAAGATCTAGTCCACATTAAACTATTAAGAAAGCAACTTCCTCATTTCTGATGCTCCAATCTTTGTCCATAGGAATCCAACCATTGGTGACAATTACTCACTTTGACATCCCTCAAGAATTAGAGAACAGATATGGAGCCTGGCTAAGTCCCAAATTACAGTACGTGCAGTTTCTCGAGCATTTACATGAAATAAATGATATTGAACTTCCATGGCTTAACCTACCCCCACCACACCCCAAAAAATAAAAAATTTATTTCTTTTCAGGGAAGATTTTGAATACTTCGCAGACATCTGTTTCAAAAATTTTGGGGACAGAGTGAAATACTGGATAACCTTCAATGAGCCAAATGTGTTTTCCATTATGGCTTATCGCTTTGGCACGTACCCTCCGGGTCGTTGTTCCAAACAATTTGGGAACTGCAGTGCAGGAAATTCAGAGACCGAGCCCTTCATCGCAGCCCACAACATTATTCTGGCTCATGCAGCTGCTGTTAATTTATATAGAACTAAATACCAGGTACAATGTCTGTTTCTTATCAACCAATACAACATTTAAGATTCAAAATTTCAAAACTAGCAGACGAAAATTAATGCTGAAATGCTGGATCATATAAAAGTTTTTATACTTTTCAAAGCAAGACAACAGATAAGTTTACAGTGATTTCAAAAGGAAAGGATACCAAGCACTACAGAATAAATTTGTCTCTTGAGTATGCAGGAGCCAAAAATCAAAAGTTTAGTTTGTTACAAGATACTATTCACTCACCAAACTCATTTTGTGTTGGTAAATTCCAGAAGCAACAAGGAGGTCAAATAGGAATTACCGTACAGGCCCTATGGTTTGAACCCATAAGCAACTCAACCGCTGACAAGCTAGCAGCAGAAAGAGGCCAAGATTTCCTTTCAAACTGGTAATTCCCTTCAAAATTCAACCTATATAGGAAACGACTCTTGATATGATAAAAGAGAAAATTTGAAAAGAAAAAAATCGTGGTAATAAACTAATAATGAATGCCAAATTAAATGCGAGCAGGTTCCTGGACCCAATCATACTAGGAAAATATCCAAGGGAAATGAAGAACATTCTTGGATCCACATTACCAGAATTTTCAAGCAATGACTTGTTTAAACTACAGAAGGGATTGGATTTCATTGGCTTAAATCATTATGCCGGCTTCTATGTCCAAGACTGCATGTTTTCGACATGTGAACCCATACCAGGGACCTCAAGAACTGAAGGTTTCATCAGACAAACGACAGAAAAGGATGGCATTTCCATTGGGGAACTTGTAAGTTTGTTTCCAGCTTCATAGTTTCAGCAGTTGTCCTAGCATGATTACTGACGTGTCTAATTTTTGCAGACAGGGATGGAGCCATTCCATTATTACCCTCAAGGAATGGAAAAAATAGTCACGTATTTAAAAGAAAGATACAACAACACGCCAATTATTATTACAGAAAATGGTTAGTACAGCAGACAAGAATAATATATTTTCCCTTTTTATTTATTCTTCCTCCTTACAATTCTTTAGCTATTTTCAGGATTTTTTTTCCTTTTTTTTTTTTTTGATATATTATTGACAAATATAAGATGAATTTTAGGATATTGCGAGGTCAGCAATTCGAATGCCACCATTGAAGAAGCTGTAAATGACAACAAGCGAGTAAAGTACCTGGCCAACTACTTAGATGCCCTGTCAACAGCCATGAGGTAAACACACTAGTGCTTGATGCAAAAATTAAACAAATTTCTTATCCATCAACAAGATTGATTTACAATAAAAGGATGCATTTGGTTCTCCCGTTTCTTCATGTACATAAAATTCTAAAATACAACAAACTTTGGCCGAAAGTTGAGTACTGACATTGCATCAAAGCTGATCATCTGTGTACTTTACTACATGAACAGGAAAGGAGCAGATGTGAGGGGATACTTTGTCTGGTCCCTCCTCGACAACTTTGAGTGGTCAAGTGGATACACTAAACATTTTGGGCTTTACCATGTTGATCAGAACACTTTAAAGAGAATTCCAAAGTTATCAACAACTTGGTACAGACACTTCATTGCAGAACACATGAGAGCTAATGCTAGAGCCCAGAGCTAATTTCATAAGTCTCCAATTCAGACAGACATTAAAAATTCCTAGTTTTAGGATTGTGGAGACAAAGAAGGAAATATATGTTTGACATGTAAAAATCCTATTTTTTGAAGTTAAATATTCTAATATTTTAGTAAAATTCTTAAATTTAGTAGGAAATGAAGATAAGAATAAAGATAGGATTTAGATAGAATTTTAAAGTACAGTGATTCAAATTATGTTTGTTTAAATTAGATTAGATTAGTTTTAATATTTTGATAAGTTTATAGCTTATTAGAAGTTCATTTAATTTTAACTTCTCTGCTCTATAAGAAGGGGCTTATTCATTGTAATACATACACTCGGATATTGAATAAAAACTTATATTTTCTTCCCTCTAAATTTTCTCTATTTCCCTCCATCCTCTTCTCTTCCCCTCTTTCTTTTTTAGATCTTTTTCTTGTTTGTTGTATCCTACATCAATCGATTTCGTGAATGTACTTCAGCAATGAGGCCCAAGATTCACTCCATTGGGTATGAAAGATGTCGCTAACCATAAGCTAGATTCGATTTCATCGCCTTACTCTATATACTAACTTATGGTGAGATTTCAAACATTTTAGCTTCACACAGAAAATATTACAAGAACTATATTCTAGAGCAAATATTTCGTGCTCATCAATATGATTTGCCCTATCTTGACAATGACATGACAAAAATAAACTTAGTTGGAGATCATGTTCTTGAATTATAGTGTTTCCTTCAATTTTTCCAAAAAAATAAATAAAAATCAATCAATTTCAAAAACATAAAAATGAAAACTCACAGAGATTCCATCAATGTACACAAGAATTGCAAATGAAAGGAGAGAATTGCCAACTGATGAGTGATTAAAAGTTTGCAAATGAAGACAACTTAAAAGTGATAGAGGTCTACCTTAGGAAGCAGAATATAACAACTTTGTCAACTACTCCAGTAAATCATCCAGTGCCGCAGCTAAGCTTTATCTACCTCCACCATGGAGATCTAGCCTTGAAAAGGTACTCTCCCTCATCCCATATAATCTGATATGCTTGAAGCCGATAACACACCAGGTTCCTTTCCACGGCATGCAAATTATGCAATCCACTCTTCAGCATGCAGTACTTATCATTCTCAACGGCATATCGTTTTTTTGTCCTAGCCAAATGGATCAAGCCCTCGATTGTGCATCTCAGCAGTTGCAGTTGGCATATACATCGAATCACCCACGGGCACCACAAACGACCTATTGTGCTTGAATCTGCCTGTAAAGATAGAATTTGAGATGCAAATTGGTTTCAAATGACCTATGTGGTGAAAGATATCAGACCATTCCTGTACAGCAGTAATCAAACTCAAGTAAGTTGTCACTCTCCAATGGACTAAAGAATAGGAAAAATCTATGGATGAAAAGAAGGGAATTGCACATACATGTTAAGCAGCCATCCTCGATCCAGCTCCCATTTCATCGAAGATGCTGACAGAATCAATCCATCGGGTGTTTGACCTGTCAAAAGGTCAATTTTACTTTCATATGCAAATCCTAGGCCATTCACAATCTTGAATGCTAGATTTATTTTTAGTCAAGGTATTCGGCCACTGAACCTACTTGAATTCCAACACCTCAACTTGGCACAGTTTCCAATTTAGCACTCAAACTCTAGAAACAAAACTTATCGTGGACTCGTGGCCATGTCGAATAAACTGCTAATCTTTAACTTAGCCCGTTTTAACAATTTCAAAAAGCAACAAACCAAAACCTACTGATTAAAAATCAAATTGGGGGACAAATTCCCTAAAACCCATATGCTAATTATATAACCAAAAGAAAGTGCCCTTTCATTATTTTTCCCGCATTATTGCAGCTGTATGTTCTGTAGTCCCCTCTCATTTCCCCAGATTCGACATAATTACAAATTACCATGTCCAAAATACTTCGCCGGAAAGAATTTGATTCGGGATTTCAGGAATTTGGAACTATTAGAAGTTCAATCCAGCCACCACCGATGTTAAGCAACAGTTCCACTTCTTCTTCGCAGCAATTTCCCGTCCAGCACAAATCAGCTTCGGATTTTCTCGACTTGGGTTTTATGGATTTTGTCCCCAAATTAATTTTAATTGATATAGGTTTAAAAAATCTATGGTTTTCTTTGGAGTAAATTTAACCAATAATCATTTAACTTCACACTTTGTTAGTACTTGCTCAATCATTTTTCATAACTTACTGAATGCTCACTCATTTTTTCATATAATTACTCATTCATCACTCGTCTCTTCAAATAATTGGGCGACATTTGCGACAACTTTTCGACAACTTTCGACCACAAAGAATGTCAAATTTTGATACCGTTAAAAAGCCCACGATGTCCTCTTCAATGACCATCAAAATCTCATTATAACTCCAAGGGATTCGATAGAAAAATTGCCTTAAAAGTCGTCCAAAAATTCTGAAAATCTGCCCAGATTTTTAGATTTTTTGGACGACTTTTAAGGTAATTTTTCGACAACTTTCGATCATCAAAACTATCAAATTTTGATACCATTGGAAAGCCCACAATGTCCTCATCAAAACTATCGAATTTTGTCCAGATTTTTGCCTTTTCGAGATGCTGACTTTGTGGTTTATTCCGACCGAATCCTTTGGAGTTATGGGAAAATTTTGGATGGTAATTAAAGAGGACATTGTGGGCTTTTCAATGATATCAAAATTCGATAGTTTTGATGGACGAAAGTTGCCGAAAAATTGCCTTAAAAGTCGCCCAAAAAATCTGGAAATCTGGGTAGATTTTCAGAATTTTTGGGCAACTTTTAAGGCAATTTTTCGATCAAATCCCTTGGAGTTATAATGAGATTTTGGGTGGTAATTGAAGAGGATGTCGTGGACTTTCCAACGGTATCAAAATTCGACATTTTTTGTGGTCGGAAGTTATCGAAAATTTCCCGCAAAAGTCGCATAATTATTTGAAGAGACGAGTGGTGAATGAGTAATTATATGAAAAGATGAGTGAGTATTCAGTAACATGTGAAAGATGAGTAAGCAAGTAGTAACCAAGTGTAAATTCAGTGATTATTGGTTAAATTTACTCGTTTTCTTTGTGATTTTGAAAAACAACTCGCCTATGTTTCATAACCCAATTTTTTTTTTATGAAAAATGGAAACAAATTCCAACTTCCACATTTGATCTGTTTGATTTCAAAATTTTTTAGGAAATTAGTTTTCCACTTCGGCCACTACGTCAGCATTTTCTTAATTTTCATGGCTTTTCAATTTGGTTTTCCATGTTTTGTTTTTCTCTTTTTAACTTTTTAATTTTTATTATTATTATTTTATTTTTTTTGCAATTGAAACAAATTCTAAAAACAATTGTAAAAGATGATATCCCTTAAATTGAAAATTTTCATTAAAAATAAAATCAAACAAATACGAAAAGACACTTTTATTTCAACATTTTTCGAGTGGAAAAATATACTAATCAAACACGATAATTGATAATTTTCAGTAAAATAATTTCTAGACAATTCAATTTCCTGAAATTCTTTTTCTTTCAACCCAAATTTCATCTTTACAATCAAACGGACCCTAAGAGTAACTGTTTATCCATGTGGCCACCCCGTTCAATTAATAGATTTCTTCGACGTGCACGTTAAGTCAATTAGTTCGGGAAATGCTAATGTAACAGGGGCCTGTGCCTCAAATAGGTGCACTATCTCAAGACAGGCCCCCTGGTCGTTTAGCATTTTCGTTAGTTCAAGTTGGGTACTGTGGGTCCCCCTCTTCTGAGGGGGTCTGTGATACCATGTACAAGTAAACAACCCGTTCAAGTTTAGACAAATTTTTACTCCTTTGATACACCAGCCCTCAGTATGACTGTTCGACTATTCAGGGTGTCACCCTCATGTGTGGGGAGTGTCATCATCTGGGAAATCACTCCAGATGTACACAAAACATTATTCGATTACCAGTTGTTGACCTCGAAAATTGGACCTTCCACGTGGCCAATCGATAGCTACTCCACGTATTCCTCCCTGCACACAATCAACGCACGGTCAGACGCACACGGCTGGGACTAGCGAGGGTGGTGGCGGCCGTATACACTCTGACGGTCAAGTCAGGTTCAGGTGGTCGGAACAGTACCCAGAGGTTATATCAAAAACACTAAGGGGAATGAGAAAATATATAAATTTGCTATGGAGCGCTATGGAGTAAGAGTTTTATTACCTTTGCCTCTTGCCAAACCTTGGGTATTTATAGATGGGATGAACCGTTAGATGTGGGATACGTGTATACATCTGACGGTATGAGGCATCCGCTCATAGGCGTCAATTAGCCGTGTTTGTAGAGTGGGCGGGCAGTTTGTTTCTCCCGAATTGAGTTGACATAAAGTCGATAAGTCACATCAACTAGCCTCATAGAGATGTCAAATCAATTTAAACTTTAAGTGCAGAGAGGATCTTGGCAAAAATCTTTTTCTGAAATTGGCGGCGGATTTTCTGACAGAGGTCCACTTCACCTCGGTCTAAGGGGCGAGGGCGCTTCGGTCAGTTCAACAGGATCACCTATGTCTTGCAGTGTGTTATCAGGTCGTTGACATTAGTGAGATCACTTTGGAAACACTTCGAATGGGTGCCTATCAGGTCGGAATGTGTGGTGGTGGGCATTCCGAGGCGGTTCAGATAGGGGCGTAACAGTGGTCCCCTAAGTCCAGGTATGAATATTTATATCATGGGTGGACTTGCTTTCCTGACCAGATGTGCATGCCTCGGTACTGAGGCCCGCGACTCGTGGGAGCTAGTGGGTCAATCTTCTGCAGTAATCGAAGCTATGATCTTAGGCAGATGCGCCAAAGTTTCGTTACTGCGTAAGGGAAACAATAACCAATGTGAGGTCGAAGCGCTGCAAGACTGGACAATAGTAAGAAAAAAGGTCAATGCGATGACCCACAGGGGACTCTCGTCAGGCATGCCTAAGCTTTGTAAAGTTGAGTGAGGAGCTCATCTGCCACCGGTGCGCTGACCCACGGGGAATGACGCGTTGAGAGATGGCTAAAACTTTGTAAAGCTTAGGAGGGAACGCAACGGCCGAGGCGATGACCCACGGGGGATTTCACATCAGGTGCATCTAAGTTTTGTAAAGTTGAGTGAAGAGCTCAATCCGAGGCGATTCAGATGTCAAATGATTTGACAACTGTTGTGTATTTCCAAGGTGACAGTTGGGTGCCATGCCCATTCTCCTAAAAGCCTGCTGTGGCTACTTGTTATTGACGGCTGGTGGTGACCGAGGTGACGCGTTTTAAGCGAGCATAAAGGTCACAGCAACATCTTGGGTGTAGATCAAATCTGGCATTTCATTTCAGCGACCTAGATTGAAGATGCAACAAACGGCTTAGATTGATCGCATTTGAATTCAACGGTGGAGATCGGATGGGTCTTTCCATAAAAGGCGGACTCTGAGCTTTTCTCAAGCTTTCTATCCTTGCAAAAAGTGACAATACATTTTGCTCTCAAGCCATTTGTGGTTTCCGACGTTTTCTATGTAATTCCGGCGAGAAACTTGAACTTCTGGCAAGAAATCCCAACATTCGGCGACCTTACACCATTTCCGGCTAGGAAAACCTTCAAACTCGTAAGTTTCAGTACCTTTTAGGATTTTTAACTTCTGAAAAATGGCTTCTGAGGGGGAGTTCTGGTTCGGGAAGGTGGTTAGAACTAGTGAGGATGGACGAGCCTATTGTGGCGACCTCTTCAAAAATAGCCGAGGCGATAATAGGGGGGAAAATATATGGAAGCAACCGGATAGCCAAGCAGATACTTCTATGCAATGGGGGGCATCGGACTACTCATCTAAACTAAGAGAGGCCGACCTGGAGAGACTTAGGGTAGAGTATAGGATCCCAGATAGAATAGATTTGATCCTCTCCGAGCCCGAAAAGAGGGCCTGCTACTCTAGGCCGGGTTGTGTGGCCATTAGTGAGGCGATCCTTAGGGCCGGACTTAGGCTGCCAATTCACCCGTTCTTTAGGATGGTGCTTAGATCCTATGGGATAGCCCCGACCCAACTCAATCCGAACTCTTAGAGCCAAATGGTGGGCTCCTGGATGTTGTGGAAAAAGGCGTCACTAGGGGTGGAGATGCCCTTCTCCGTCTTCCAGACCCTTTACATACCTAAGGTAACTGCCGGGGGGGATAAGACCCGGGGGTGGTACTACCTTATTTCATGGGGTTCCCACACTCTATTTGTGTTCGATCTACTGAGCTCCATCAAAGAATGGAAGAGCTCGTGGTGCTGGGCCATTGGATGATGGGACACGATGGAGGGGGACCCCCTGGCGCCCCTTACGGTCCCAACGAAGTACTCAACACTTAGTGAGTATAGTAGTTGCTTTTCTTTATATTTCTCTTCAGTTCAAACCATGACTAATATTTGCATTTCTTTTGTAGGTACTCTTCCTCGGTACGAACTGTCTTCCGAAGACTTCACCACCATCTGCATCATCTATCAGCTGCCTCAAAAGAAGAGGTCATACCATCGACTGATCCGAAAGAACATTCACTTTTGTTACACACGACTTGATGGCATCCCAAGGTAATTAGACCGAAGTCTTTACCCTTTATTCTGAACTTTTAACACTTGTACTAATTCGTCATTCGTTCCTTGCACACAATTTTAATAAGAAGATGCCCATGCACCCCGACTTTAAGACCATCCAGAGGATGATGGCGGAGGCACGGCACTGAAGGCCTCCTCCTCCTCCTACAAGAAGCAAATGGAGTATCTGGTGGACGCCAGTAAGAGGCTTCGGCCTCCGACGGAGGAGGAGGTACCGAAGGCTGATCTACAAAGGAAGGGCAAGAACAGCACCGCCTCTCCAAAACGCCCAACTATGGTGAGGCCACCCTCCGTTCTGAAGCAGACCATAATTCCAACCGGGGTAGCCATTTCGGAGAAAAGGCCTGCACCATCTGAGGCTGCCACTGCCCCGGCCACAACACCACTTGCTGCCGTGCCAATCGCTCAAGTGCCGGGGCAGCAGAAGAGGAAGAGGGCCCGTCTCTCTAAGGAAGTCAACTTTCTGGGTACAAATCCGGAAGAGCCAGTGAGGAAAGTGCTGGAGGCCCTTCCTCCAGAAATAGCTGCA